TACAAAGAGATTGATACTGAAATTATCCTTGCTTATCAAATAGGAATGTGATTGAATTTAGGACCTTTCTTTCTGATATTTTAAAGTGAAAGTCTGGTGGTTGGAATATGGTATGGAATAATCCAAGCTAGCAGAGTGCTAGCACACATCAGGCCTGTATGGCATACTGCAGTCTGACTGTAGGCTGAGTGCTTAGCACTTTGCCTGGGTGTTTCTGGGCCCTAAAGCATTAGATCAGTGAAGTGAAAAGGCTGTAAATGAAGCAAAAGGTGAAATGACTGCAAAAATTGAGATACTGTTTTTCACATTTCATAATGCCTGACTTACGTTTCTCAGAGAGTTACTTAAGCTTTTCCTATTTTGTTTGCAGAAGTCTTTTGACCCTATATTGCCACATGTTAGATACTTCAGTTGTGATCTTAGTGACTGCTCTTAATGCACACTTCCCAAAGATCATGTAATTCATCCTTTTTCTATACAATCAGCACAAGTTTTGTGTATGAATAAAGGGTTCCATTCATTTTCTTTCTACCAAGCTGAGTATACCAACCTCACCTGTCCACGGAGAGAAGTTATCTGAGGGTGGTCTCACATTTGTGTCTTCTAAAAAACTGAAAGATCAAAAGCACAATGAAAACCAATTATTTCAGCTTAAAGGGGTCATGTTTGAAAGTCAAATTAGCTTTTAGAACTGATGCATAAACAAAGTACCTGCGTGACTCTGTGTCCTTTTCATTACTGATATCTGCTGATGTAAGTGATAGTCTGTCAGGAGATGAGATCTTTTTGGGGAGAGGAGGATTATAATACCTGTGCTTCAAGAGAACAGATTGCTGTGATGTCTTTAAGATTTGTGGGTTTTTTTGTTTTTTGTTTTATTTCTGTGAAGCAAACTGAGTGTTTGTCAAGGAGGTCCCCGGAGTATGTTTTGTTAGAAGAGTTTTGACATGCCTTCTTCCTGTTGTGACTGTTTAAATGCAAACGAGACTGTTGGAGCTGCAAAGCAGATGACCTGTCTTTACCAGAGGCAGGAACAGAATTCTGACACAAACTATGCTGAGCAGACTTCCTTGCAGAAGAGGCTGCCAACCGAGTTCTCGAACTGAGCCTCTGAAAACATACAAAGGAAGGCTGCTCTCTTTCTGTCCTGGAATAGCTGTTCTAAGCAGATGTCAAGTGTAGGTGACCATTTTCCTACAGCAAACACCTCACCTGCAAGTTAAAGAACAAAATGCCCCCCAGAAAATCACAAAAGCAATCTGGTGATGTCAGTGCCTCCTACAAACAGATTCACTAAGAAGGAAGTTCAAGAACCAGTCTTCCAACTGCTTGAAGTGGTCTAATTGAGTTGCAGTTAAAAGTAAAGCAACACTGTCACTGCATTGCAACTACTTACTAACACGCTCCTTTTCGAGTTTCCTTTTCCTTCCTTCTCTGTGCTAAGTTGAGGTTTCTCGTGACAAGTATTCTTAGGAAATTACAGAAATACCTCTTTCCTTGCCAGGCCTCACAGAGAGAGAAGTGATCTTTCCTTCCTTGGACATTATCATTCTCACAGCAATCCTCTTTAGGAGCAGTGGGATGGCACCTTCTACTCACTCTCCTTGAAGGACTATTCAGGTATGAGCTCCATCTTGAGAGTCGGAATTCCAGCAGAACCACTGTTATCCTCATAAATGCCATCAGTGAAATTATGGTCCACCATTTCCTTATTTATCTCAGTGGAACCGAGGTTTTACAAATAAAAATAATACAGTTTGAATTTGGATGACCTACTTTATAAACAGCGTCACTGGTAATCTAGTGGTAAACACATCATAATTCTCAACAGATAGAAAGTTTTACGATCTAAATGTGGTCTCCTGAGGGACTTTCGCCCCCAGAGAGACTCAGTACTATGGCAGAACAAAGTGTTTTGGATAACTTTGACTATTGCACTAAGATCCATAGGTAGAATTTGGTAAAGAAGTGGTCTACACACACTACCACAGGTTGTACAGTCTCTGATACCTGCCAGAATATGGAGAATTAGGATTGATTACTTCAGTATCTTGCTTTTACCAATGATTTAGAATTACCATTCTAAAATTCAGAGGACACAGTCAAACAATATGATGTTATTGCATTTTGTTCAGAGGGAATTTGGTAAAAATCATAGGGATTTACTTATTTATTTAATATTGTGTACAGCAATTTTCCTAACAAGAATGTTGTCATATATGCCATCAATTTATTTCAGTAAATTCACTCAATTTCAGTTTTCCAGACGCCCATGTAATACTTCATTAAAAATTCTGCTTCAAGATGAAATTGAATCTTATTTGTTAAAGGAACAAAGAGATGACGTGCGGGTTTTTGAATGTTGTGTGTACAGGGACTCATTCTAGTCATGTACTTGTGCATGACATACACACATGTCATTGTAGATCTACAGTGTAGACCAAGTATGCGTAAGAACAGATGAGAGTATAGCTTCTGAGTCTAGCAAAAAACATGTTTAAGTCATTGCAGCTTAGGTGAAAACTCAGTGGATCATAAAGGCACATACATTCATTAGTTTTAAGACAGTGAAACTACATGTTTTTTGGTATCTTCCCAGGCAAAACTGAGAATCAAATATTATTTCTGCTTGACCAGACTATAAAAAGTCACAGTGCACAAGCCTGCGGTGTTAAAGGCACTTCCCAGCACTACGGGCTGCAGCTGACTATGAAGAAGTTGGTCTCTGTCAGGTGACTTGATGTTACCTGTGTGACAAGTAGTCACACGCTGTCAGAATATCACATACCTTCTGCTGGCCTAGAGAAACATTTCTGAAGTTGACTGATGTGGCGTGAAGACCATGAATGAAATCTTTCTTGTATTTCTCAAAGGCTTGCATCAGTTTGTCTCTTTTCTGCTGATCACTGTCTGTACAAATACAAATGTAAACACAACTCTTTCAAGTTAAATCAATGTTCAAGTCACATATTATTACTCTTTGCTCTTCTTTTTCCCATTAAAGACTGTTCCCTCTCCTCCTCTTGATGCCAGGTAGTATACAAAGCAGACAACCACTCCTCTTTATGGTTGGTTCTTGATGCTTCAGAAGCACACATCCGTATTTGAAATAAATGCAACCCAGGGCTTCATTTCGTCACCCACATGGTAAGTAACAAATTGTGGAGGCATAACAGAGCACGATATTTTGTTCCAATCTCCTGCCCACTCTTTTTTCCCCTGTCCTAGAGAAGAGCTGGTACAAGTCAAAGTAGAAGAAAAGATGATATAATTAAGTCTCTGAGATTCAAGGCTGACTGGCCAAAGGCTGCCACTGCGGTCTGTGCAGACTGTACTATTAAGATAGTGTGATTTCTGCGTTAGTCAAACAAAAAAAGTTCGGAACAGACCCAGACCTTTGGATCTTTGATTATTACAAGAATTCTTGCAAGAACACTTAGAATAAACATTACTATAGAGTCATAGAATCACAGAACATTCCAAGTTGGAAGAGGAAAGGATCATGGAATCATGGGAGTCCAACTCCCAGCTCCACACAGCAGCACACAACACTCCAACCCTGTATCTGAGAGCGTTGTCTAAGCACTACCTGAACTCTGGCAGCTCTGGGCCATGCCCACTGCCCTGAGCAGCCCGTTCCATGCCCACTGCCCTCTTGTGCAGAACCTTTCCCTAACCCCCTTGCCATTCCCTTGGGTCTCGTGTTGTTACCAGGGAATAGAGCTCAGCACCTGCATCTCCATTCCCCTCTTGAGGTAGTTCTTTTAGTACCCTGGGACGAAACCTGTCTCAGTGTAAATGGTGTTAGGCTTATTGTAAGCAGTATTTCTGTGTGTGTGTGAGTAAGCAGCTCCTCCATCTCACTAGTACTGAGACAGAATAATCCTTGTAACCCAGCAAAGCACTATATGATTGCAGGTTTTCTTTAGAGGGGGAGATGTATTGCCAGGAGTTTAGCATTGCACATTTCTGAATTAGCAGAAGAGTTACAGGGTTTTAGTAAGTCTTAATGAAAGTAATATTTCATTCAGAGAATGAATAATTGAGTCTTTTTTTAAAAGCAATTAGGTGTTGCTCTAAATTGTTGGCTCCTCAGAAGTTTGTGACAGCTCTTGTATGCGGCACAACACCTTGTAAAATTGAAAAAAAACCCATATATTTCACAAATAGCTAAAATGAAATATATAATCTTCTGAGGCATATCATCTGGCTTTCCACTCTTGCATGGGCATGAATTCATATCATCATCCTATTAAGAAAAAGCATGTTGACAATGCAAAATCCTATTTGGATGACTGAGAAGCAGGATTATACTACTCACTGGAACAAATAACAGAATGTACTTGCTCAATCACATTCGTGGAGTGATTAGTACCTTTCCTCTTTATCTAGGTTTGTTCAGGGCCCAACCAAACTTCTCCCTCCCCCCTCCCAAATTTTGATTAAAGACTTTGCATTGTGCAGTCCTGTTAAAAATAACAGACAAGGAGCTTGATGTAGTGTCTACACAGTGGTACTGCCAGTCAGGATACCCGGCTTTTTTTGTAATGCTATCAACAAATTGTTGTGAGGACTTGGGAAAAATCGTATTGGTGCCTCCCTGCTCCTCTGCATGTGCTGTCTGCTTGCCTGCAGGTGAGGCAAAACAACAGCCTCTATTCCAGGCAAGGCTGAGCCTTCACCAAGCCATGCCAAGGGCAAGAAAATAAAATGTTCCAGGTTGGAGAACCGCGGGTTTTAAACAGACATCGTCTAGTATTTCACTGATATTTATACTACAAATATGGGTTATAAATATGCCACATGGCATTAAGCCTATTTAAACAAGTCCCATTCCACTGCATTATAGTTATATGTTTTGAGTAGTCAGCAAAAACTCCTTGGCCAGAATGTCATGCAGCAACTTTCCCTGCCTTTTCCTAAGAGACACCAGGTTTCATTTCCCCCCAGTCAGTCGTGATTTGCATGAGCCTCACCCACGTGAGTCAGACTGAGGGGTCCTACACTACAGCCTAGTTTATTCAGAAACTTGTCTGCTAAAGGAATTATGTGCCTTCTCCCCTTCTAGCTCCACTCTCTCCAGTTTCTCTTTCCTCATTATTGGTTTCTCCTATTCATGTTTTCCCTGTGCCCCTTCTTGGGTTTGCAGGGCTTCTGCATCGTGACCACTTCCAACACCAGCTATGCTTCCTTTTCAAGCCTCTCCTCTCCTGCACGTGTCTTCCTAAAATGCACTTGCTCTATGCTAACCAGGCATGTTCTCCAGACACATGAACAAAAGGACTAGGAGTGGAAGATATTCTCAGTTTTTCAGGTAACACTGTTGTTTCTATTCCAAATGATAAGCGTTTTTTTTTTCTTTTTGTAAGAACAAAAATTAGGCATCCCATGCCTTCTGTATCCTTGCTGACCTGTTTCAGAATTGGCTGTATTTTATAGATGAAACCAGAATTGGACACATTAACTGGAGATGTTGCGGGAGGGTTTCAGTTCTCAAAGTATGTTGTGATTCAGTGTTTTTCCTGAATCTGATTACAGGATACAACTGGTTTTTTTTAGGCTACCTATTTGCTGCTTCCCAGGCAAAGTGATCACATGGCATGGCCAGTGCAGCAGTTATTTAGGCAAATGTATTCACCAACCTTCCTGTTAAGCTCATTTATTTGCTAATTTATCATGCTTCCTACTGTGGCAAATGTTATTTATCAATGCTATTGTGCAGTTTTATTGGTGCTTTTACTGGTACCTCGTACTGGTCAATGCAAAAGAAAGTATGATAAATAAAAGGGATTTGGTTGAAAGCTGGGCTTTAAAAATATAGCCCCCACACTGTTTTCCTGGTATTCCTTGCTTTTTTCCAGCTAATAAAAGATCTCGTCTCTCTTTTGCTGTTGCGTAAACGGCCCACATTTGTACTGAGCAGGCACAAATTTACTCAGTTGAAATGCTGTAACTGGTCAATCAGAACACAACAAATCAAAACTTTTTTTTTTGTTTTAAAGAAAAACCTCGTGTGTTTTAGTTCCACTTATATTTGCCCTAAATACTATGACAAGGCAGCTAACACCTTAGACTGATGCCACAGCTACTTTATTAAAGAGCAGGTTATTTTCAGGTCTGAAATAGAACACGGTGATCCAAGTATGAGGATGGGATACATGGCCAGAACAGTCTTCCACTAAATTGTTTACCAGATGTTACAAAACTCAGTGATTATAGTTAGAAACAGAATCAACACCTTGGCTCATGCCTTCATTTTTGACTCTCAGTGGGAGTTCTGGTTTACTTCCTACCAAGTGTTTTTAAAAAAATTGGCTGATGTTTAACCTCTGATGAGTTTTGAAACAACAAGTAAGTTTCAAAGGGCTATGGGGAAAAAGAACAGAAAAAGTGGTAAGTGAACGCCAGGACTGTCAGACTGACAACAGTCCCAAGCATAACAACTGAAACAGCTTTTACAACGCTCAGTTGGAGTCAAAAATGATCACCCAAAAATCATCATACCAGCTTGACAAGTGATTTTAATTATGGTTGAGTGATAAAAATATGTTTGTTTAAAAGACTCCTATTAGCTCCTTGGCTTTGTTCTGCAAGATATTTGGATGAAGAATTACAAGACAGCAAAACTACAAGTGTTTACAAAATAGCTAACTGGCAGATCTGAAAATGCCATTAGAAGCAAGGGCTCCTTCCAAGCCAGGTATTTATAACACAAGGATCACTTTTGATGTGTTATTAGATTATTTCTTTCATTTATCTGTAAAAACATAAACTCTTTCCTCATGAAGGTTGAACAGTTACAGCTGGTGAACTTGTGAGTTCCCTGGGAAAGGAAGTTATTCAAGGACAAAGAGAACAGGAGTCATTTACTGTAAAAAAGTAATCTGCAGCATTCAATGAAGTATATGTAGGCAAGCAGTATGCTTTTCAGCATGATAACTAAACATCTCAATCCAAAAAATGCAGGCTTTTACATAAAGTCTAACCAGGAAATCAGTGTTGCTGAAAAGCACTCCTATCTTTTGCTAGATAAACAGATTCCTGTGTTTTTTCATGGTGACAGTAGCCGAAACTAGTGTAATATCACTGTCTATAAGGAGTGGGAATCTGGAGCATAAGTACAGTCTCTTTTGATGGACAAATGACTGCTGCTGAAGTTACGAATCCTGCTCCAAAACTTTATGACTTAAACAGCACATATAATTATCAGGGTTGGACAAATTCATCCTGAAAGAAAGGTGTATGTCCTTCCTAGTGAGGTAAATTATCCTTTGTAACTGTTTAATGAAAGGTGGCATGTAAATAAATGAGGTTGGACATATTTCTAGCTCTTCTTCCCCGCTAACTCGGCAGACAGCAATGTGATGAAGGAAGTGCTAGGGGAAAAATCAGACTGGATAACTGCAACAGTTTATTCTTTATCCACCATGGATCACTTTTATTTGAAATTTTCTTTTATTTTTCTCAGTTTTGGCTGCCATTTTAATTTATGTAATCTCTGATTTTAGAGCAGTGTGATACAAAGAGACACAAGAACAGTTACAATACTCAGATCCATGGGCCAAATGCTGCAGACTGCACTAATAACACTTAGTCTGGTGTGGGGATTGCTTATTTTGGCAGTTAGAGCAAACGATACCATTCCTTCAACAGAAAGCAGCGACAGAGAAGGCTCCAATGCTTAGATTTGATTTCAGATGCTCTTTGCCTTACTAGCTATCATTGTGAAACGCCTATGTTGGCACGTTAATCTACAGTGTGTGGGTGGTTTTTAAGCCCCAAGCTCTAGTTCAGCATTATTTGTTTTCACCAATAGTTAAACTCTGTAATAGTATCAACTGAGAGAATAAAAAACTGTCTTCTAGAGGAAGAAAAGCCTCTAAAATGCCAGATATACTCACAAAACTCTGCTGACACTGCCCCTTGCTGTTTGCCGTGTCATTTTCAACCCATGCCAAATTCTGCTCATTTTGCTAAAATAAGTGCTCACACTAACATTAGCAGAAATTTCTCCGTGAGGAAGGCAAGAAGGGATCATCTCTCTGTAGATATCATCCAATCTGAGTATTAGCACACTTGGAACTTTTGGCTGTAACCCACATCTGCTGTGTGTGACTGGTTCTGCTTTATGAGCAAATTCATGGACATTAGTGGAGCTGACAGCGTTTGACACCATTAATTTGTAGACTGCATCAAAATAAAGAAAGAACTTTCTCTTTTCTCTTGTGTGAGGAAACAATGACAAGATTTGGCATTTATTTTACTTGTAATGGGAAAATAATCCATTTCTTTCTTAATCTTTTAGGCAGAATAAATAAGACATAATCAACAAGTGAAATTCCCAGCTCTGTAAGTACAACCTGTTCTTAACCACTAACTATTCACCATTTCCTTCATAAGCAAAGAAGATCCAACTCCTACACTTGGAGCATCTCAGCCCGTTTCTCATCTAAGCACATTTCTGTTATGAAAGGCCAGAACTCCCTCCCTCCCTCATGAGTCAGTAAAAACTGACAATGGTAATTTACACCTGTGAAAACATGGCCCAACAAAAGGATAAATCTAGCAGCATTTCTCTTGATTTTTTAAGGTTCTAAGTTACTAAAGCCTCTTTAGCCAAGACAGACTTTTGTCTCTTACCTGAAAACAAAAGGCAGCAAGTGAAGGGATGCTGAATTGCTGATTCTGCTTGATGCTGTGAAGTGATCAAGAACTTACTTTGGCAAACAAAATTTCATACTGCTTACATTAATGCAAGTGACTCCATATTTTGCGATTGAAAGACATTGTTGGTAAGCTGGAAAAACAGAAGCAGAAGACTCACAGCTATTTGCAAATCACTGACAGGGATTATATGAACCTCTGGAGAGGTATGGGCAGGGTTTTTTTAACACTGATGTTGTACAACAGTATTTAGGGAGGAAGGGAAGCTGGAGTAAAAGAGAAACAAGATGCTTTATCCCTGTTTAAGCATTGCTTGCTGAAGCATTCTGCTTTCCCCTTTGGCAGTGGAATAGGAATGCAAAGTTAAAATAGAGTCAGTGCACAATGGTTATGACAAACTCCTGCTCCCTGCATCCTCCAGTAGTTCCCACTAGTTCTGTCCTCCCCTTTTACAAATGCTGCTTTCAACAGCATTGATTCTGAAATCATTGGGAAGGATGCTTTTGTGATGAAGTGACTGCAGTAGAACTTAGAAAACTATTCCTTAATTCCTAGCTCTGAAACAGGCTCCAGTGTGACCACAGGTATGATAATTAATTTCTGGTGTCTTAATTTCCTCACTGTAGAAGAGGTGATAGCATATTTACTCTGTTCTAGCTGGTGCATCTTTTTGGGCAGAAATCCCTGGAAGATGATCTTTGGGCCATACGGTGTCTGCCACAAAGAAACTCAGATCCCAGACAGAGCTGCCAGCTGCACAGGATTGGAAACAGGGAGAAAAAAAATTTGTGAACCACGCTGCCCAGTAAATCACTGAAAGCTGTAGTCATACATTTGATATTTCCTTCATTGTGGCTCCCCTGGAATGCTGATATGCATGTTTCTTTTCTACAGACTGAAAAATGTATTATTAAAACCATCTCTCTAGCACTCCATAAACTCGCAATGATAGAAAGTTGATGTTTGCATATATAAACACATTAATTTTCACTGATTGCTAAATGATCCATTCAATTGCCCAAGATTAGCAACAACTGGCATTTCTACATCTGTGAGGATGAAATTATGTATTTATATAATTGACTGTATAGATTATTCACACAAACTCCAATCATCCTGAGATAAAATGCTGCAATTTTTTACGCCGTTGAGCTGTTTGGAGAAACAACTTGTTCTTATTCTCAGATGTTGTGTTCCTGAAAGTCACAAAGAAATTTCATTCTAAACTGGCTAAAAACCCAAACAGAAATTACTATTTTGACTAATATCTGTGTCATGCAGAAAATTACATGAAGAAGAACACAAGTTATAAAAAGACCACTGTGTACCATAAAGCACTTAAGTACTCTGTTGACAGATAGAGGTTTGGGTTGTTTTTTTTTTTTATTTGTTTTTTTAAAGAAAGATACCATTCCTTTTTCCTAAAACATGTGACTCCCTGTTAAAAGGCACTGAGGCTTCTTTCTGCCTGCCTGACAGGGAATTCTGAGAAGTTTGCTGCCTTCCAGGAGCCAAAATGTGGGACATTGCCAGAGAGTGCCACAATTTGTCATGAGCATGGATTGCTATCCATTATTGCTCTTTCATGTAGGCATGAAAAACACTGGAAGCTGGAACACAGGCAGAATCAAAGAAGGCTATAAGGCTCTGGGAACTCTAGTGCCTAAGCTATCTTCTCTCAAATTTGGATTAAAGAGGGAATACAGAAATAGACACGATGCATATCAGCTCCTGGCTACGTGGCTGGTGCTGGCATGAGGGTTCCAGTTTTTATGATAATGGGACTTTCTGTGAAGTTTATAACCTGTTAGAAATGGAAGGGGTCCACCTGTCCAGCCCAGGTAAGGCAATTTTCGGCAGCAGGCTGGCCAGCCTCACGAGGCAGACTTTAAACTAAATGACTTTGGGGTGGCTTCCAAACTGGCAATGCTTGTGCAATTGCAACCAACTGGGGAATATGCCAGGCCAACCACAACAGTGACAGATGTTCCTTAGCTGCCTCCCATGAGATAAGTCAGAAGTTCAACCTCCACAATTATGCGTACAGCTATCGGGAACTTCTTGCATCCCTCAAGAGAAGCCAACATCCCCTGCTCCCTTTTCTTCTCTGATGTGCCTGTATACCAAAGGATGCAGCATGGGAAATAAACAGGAAGAGTAAAAGATATATGTGTGGTCACAGAGCCATGATCTCATTGTGATCATGGAGACATGGGACAGCTTACATGACTGACATGGATGGCTGTACTCTTTTTAGGAAAGACAGAGCATCGAGGTGAGATAGTGGAGTTGCTCTTCATTTGAGAGAACGACTGGAATGTATTAATCTCTGCCTAGGGGGAAATGATCAATGAAAGGAGAGCTAATGGGTGAGAATGAAGGGGCAGACTAAAATGGGTGACACCATTGTGGGTGTTTACTACAGGCACCCACAGGTGCCTGTGATCAGGAGGAAGAAGTTGATAAGACCTTCCACAGACAGCTGAAAGTAGTTTTGTGAACATTGGTTCTCATGGAGGGAGAGAACTTCAACTACCCTGCTATTTGCTGAGAAACCAACGCTAGTAGGCATACACAGTCCATGAAGTTCCTGTAGTATGTGAAAGATAACTTTCTGATACAGGTGGTGGTAGAGACTATGAGAAGAGATTTGCTGCTGGACCTTTTCCTTATGAGTAAGGGAGGTACTGGAATCAGTCTGGTTCAACGTTTTTGTGAGAAGGGATGGAGTACACTCTCAGTAAGTTTGCTGATGATGCAAAGGTGGGAGGAGTGGCTGAGGCACGATATGGTTGTGTTACTACTCAGTGAGAACTGGGCAGGTTGGATGCTTGTGTGCATCAGTACAGGTTAGGGGCTGACCTGCTAGAAAGAAGGCCTAGGTGCCCTGGTAGACAGCAGATAGGCCATGAGGCAGTAGTGTCCCATTGTGACTAAGAAGGGGTAGATTAAAAAGAGCGTGGTTAGCAGGTTTAGGGAGGTGATCCTTCCCCTCTACTCTGACCTGGTGAAGCCACATCTGGAATTCTGTGTCCAGTTCTGGATTCCTCAGTTGAAATGGGAGACAGGAAGAGATTTAGAACTGGATGGGCTGGTCCAGTGTGCTTCCCTGGAATGGTGGACTGAGGCTGTGATGGAGCCATAGAGATGAGCTTTAGTTAGGGTTTTTCAGAATTGCAGAACTTGCCAACTAATGATTTGGGTGGCTCATTTTCTTGCATAAAGTGTGGGTTACATTTCTGGGTTCCCTCAGTTAGGGCTGGTTTTGATCAATCTTTCACAAGTGTTAAGTTTTTCCCAGTTTCCTACCAGTTCATTTGGGACAGTTTCATGTGCATATCAGCCAAGGTTTCTGCTTCTCTACTGAGCTGATCAGCCACAGGAGATCTGACTCAAACATCACAATATCATAGAAATATTGTTTGGGAGAGAATTCTGGAACTTACAGGCTATGGAAACACTGTCTCATGCTTCCAGGCTTCCAAGAAATCTAATTCAGCTGTAGCTCTTAATCCCTCATAACTGAAGAATTTGGAGGACTTTCTAGATTCAACAGATAAGTTTGACTCTCAAACTCAATGTATAAATAAGTTTGTTTTTTTTTTTTCTTTTTTTTGTTCATTGGTATAAAAATGGATTATAATGGATTTATTTTTTTCCAGAATTTTCACATTTCCTTTGGAGTAGAAATTTTTCTTTTTTATTACGAAGACACTTCTTGAAACCTGGCCTCTGGTGGTTTCTGCAGCATAACTTGAGCTTTTTCCGTACTCGTTAGATGCTCTTTCTAGTAAACATGGCTTCTACCGAGAATAAGAAATGTGAGCATTCTCCTAGTCAGATATATTCAGTGTTGGGGTGGTCATGGAATTACTGCTTTCACAGTAGTTTCATACGTCATGCTGCTCTCACAAATGTAAGGAAGGTAGCATTTCCAATGCTTTATATACCATATGTAAAAGTCATGAGAAGAGCTTCTCATGTGAAGTTAATCAAGGATGCTCTTCCCAACTGTGACATCAGGAACTTCATGAGATTCAAAGCAGCAAAACGTTCAGTGAACCACTAAATTTAAACTCCTACTCTTTTAAACCCTAGAATTGAAAATCTAAATAACACATGAAGGCATTCAGGAGGAAGCCCTACACTTTGCATGTTTCCTTGATGTTAATGTTTCATTTATGCAGTTTTTAACCTAAAGAACAACAGCACAGACAGCTTGAAAAATGAAAAATTTTAATACTGTCAAAAAAGTGTTTTAATTAAAATTACATTTTTACATTTTATTCAGAGTGTTTTATCTGCAATGTATTTATTTCTAAAATGAAACAAAGCACTATGCATGATATTTTGTTCTGCCTTTTCAGGATTAATCTCTGCAGGTGTTTGAGGCTTTGTCTTTATTTTAACAGGTTTGTGTACATCTGCACCATGTGACCTGGGTTTTCTTCTTGCAGCTGACTGGAGAGCTAAGTGCTTGCTGTGCAACACAGATTGCATATTTGGAAAACAAGTCCATATCTACATGACTGTATGGATTGAGAACAGGTAAAATATCTCATCAGAATGTGTGGCTGTCCAAACTACTGTGCATGCTGATAAATTTCAAGGTTTTAAAAGCATACTGTAAACAGCAACAAAAGTAGAAATGGTTGTGGGAGGGAATTCTACATGAAAAGAAAAGAAAGTGCAATCTTCAACTGAGCAGAAAATTAGTTTTGTCCTCATGTTATTCTAGCAGAGTGGCAAAACAGCCTTCATTCATTTTGTCTTTTAATATGCAAATGATAAACAGAAGCCTATATTTGTGGGCATAAAATCATTTTATACTGCACAAATGATTGCACGTTAACCCCATTAGCAGTGACTGTACATCCACTATTGTTCTGCTCAACACTTCAGAAGACATAAATTCTTATCTATCCACTGTGACTTCTAAATTTTGAGTTTTTCAGGGACAAAATTTCTTTTGTCAAGACAGACGTTTCTGGAGCTAACCTATCCTTTTGTGGAGATAAATGTTAAATGACAAAAGTGAGTTGTCTTTCCTTAGCAGAATACTGGTATATAAAAGATACAAATGATGCTGAATCCTCACTTCCTCACGTTATGGCTTCTATGTGCAGGAGCCTTGTATTCATGTGAGCTTTTAAATTAACAGAAACCACACACGACAATACATTCCTGATGAGCTGTACAAGAGAAATGATAAGCAACTATTATAAAGAACATAGATAATGTCCTCTTGATCTTCTCCAATAAATGAGTTTCTGTGCCTTGTGTACTTCTGTGAGAAGATCACTTTCTTTTAAAATATTGAAATCAATCAAAAATACTAAGTTTAAAATGCTTATGCGAAAGCCAGCATTGAGGAAAGGCTAATGTGATACGGAGCATGAAGTTTTAGAAAACAAGCAAAATTCTTATTATGTGATGTGGTTCTGGACTTATTCTCTTGCTTCTCTTCTCTGTAGATCTTCTGTGATCCGATTTTCTTAATCTTTAAAGGAAAGAGTTATCTTTTCCTTCTTGGATGGTATGTATCTTCCTTAAACAATTGCATCTTAGTGTCTTCTTTGAGCTATCTTTGTTTTCAACTGCATTATATGTATTATACCGCAGTAACAGTGACAACCTACTGCAGATCTCTGATAACTGATACCCATTCTGCACGCATTCTTAAAAAGCAGCAACTTTCAGTTTTCTTGCTTTAAAAATTTGATTTTAAATTGTGGGTTTTCTGTGCAGAAATGGTGAATACTCCCATATATATAAATTTTCCAACAGAGAATCAGGATATGCCTTAAAACCAGCTGAATGAAGAAATCTGAACACATTCCACAGTGCTTTCAAGGAAAGGGACAAATGTGTCGCTGTTCAACCATCTTTGCTTCCTTTCAAAAAACAAAGGATATCAGAGACTCTGCTTAAATGTTGGGTACTGCAGGCTTCAGCCAAGAGGTGGCGTTAAGATGCAATGCAATGTTGTCTTAGCAATAAAATATTACCTGTTTTAACAGTAGTATGCCTGATGCTTAGAGGTACACAAACCAGTTAAGGAAACAGAAAATACACTGTAGGTGAGCAAAGGAATTCGACAGGAATTCAATTGGTCTGAGTTGGGACTGAAAAACTAGAGTAACTTATGCCTTAAGTAACCACTTGTAATGTATACCAAAGATTCTTACACTTTGTAAATTAGAATGCGGCTGTGCAAATGTGAACCAGCAGCTGGATACAGCTTCTATTTTAGATGTTAGGTAAGATACTTAGACGCTTGAGGGATTAGGACTAGATGATCTTTAAGGTTCCTTCCAACCCAAGCCATCCTATGATTCTTATATTATTGTCTTAACCGTACTTGGAATGATGAATTTTTTTAGGCATGCCTCCTCATCATAAAAAAGACAAGTATTTACAAACCAAACAAATGAAGCCAGACCTAATTTGAAAACAAAACTATACTCACATTTAACACTGGAATGCAAACTCTTTGATGCAGATGAGTCAACAGCAGCTGTATTAACAAATGAAGGTTCAGTCCATTGAAACGTTTCTATTCCAAATAATCTTACATAAAAGGGGTTATAGATGAAACTGGTGATATCAAGGTGTTGAATTCCTCATAGAAATATGGTACTGGTATGCATAATGTTAGCAGGTCTGCAAGCCATCACATCCTTTTTTTCCTTTTTTCCCCTAGTCATTTATACTGTTTTCTGTCTCCTGTTTCTTACCCAACAGTGAGCTTTCAAAACCTAGAGTAGATGAAATATAATCAAATCAGTTGAGTTACACTATATTAAACTAACTGAGGGTTTGACTCCTTGTCCTCATCTGAGTGAAAGTGCCTCAGAAGTGCTATTGTTGATTCAGTATTAAATCTGGGTCTGAATTTTGTGGTTGTAGGCCTTGTTTACTTTGGTATAGAAATGAGAATTAGTGCAGCTAATGTTATTAACATTCTTTTTAGTTTACAAGTCAAAAAAAGCTGTGTACATCTTATTTCAACATCAGTTGTTAGTCAGAAAATACTTCAGGAATGACTAGCATGGCTGCTATCAGTCATCAAGAGCCTCCAAGTGATGGTATAACGAGATTCAGGTTATTCCTAGACTGAAGGGTATCAGTTCTTGATCATCTGTCTATCGGTAGAAGTTATATGATTACATAGGCATTTTTGTACACTATGTTTTCTGTTATTTGGTCATTTGATTTTTCTATGCAAATAGTGAAATCAAGTGAGTTTCCAGGAACAAAGCCATGTCACTGTACTGCTGCATACTCTTCAGTAAGTCACATGTCTGTATGGGAGATGGTATGAATACTGATGAAAGTGTATGTCTCATGTGCTATACCTAGAGATAACTACAATATATGGACAAAAACTATTTTTGACTGTGAAGGAAGAAGTAATCATTTAGAAGCACAGTACTCCAGTTGCATTTGAAGGGCACTGACTCCATTTTCATCCAAAACACTTTAGTGATTACTGCTACATGTCACAGCAAATCAGAGCTTGTACAAGTGCTCCAAACACTGTTTCAGACATGCAGGACTAGCTACTGATTGGAGTGAGGCCAAATAGACTGTATTCAAAAAGCAGCTCTACTTTAAAAAAAAAAAAAAGTGAATATTTATAAGGGCACTGGAGAAAGCCTCTAAGCAACCCTGATCAGATTTTGCGGAGGCATGAAACCCTATCATCTGCTACAAGGATATGGAGCAAGTGACAACTCAGCACTTCAGCACAAGGTATGTACAGACCTTGATCTCCTTGCAGAATTACAGTTCTTAGTATCTATGAAAGTTCAACTCTGCAAAGAGAACCTGACTGGAACGATGAAGCATTATAATAAGGAAAAAGTTTTTTTTTTTTTAATATTAGAGGTTCCTGCTCTCATATGCTCTAAAGCTAACTTTAGAAACTATCATTTCAGATGGCAAAACATAAGAAATAGAAATTTTAGCCACTGGAAATTTTGACTGGCATCTGTGCTGATAAGGCCTTTCCAGCTTAACTGAACTGTGCTAGAGACATGCAAGACTGACCTGCGAAAAAAAAAAACCAAAAACCAAAAACAAAAACAAAAAACTAAAAAACAAACCCAACTGAAATCTGTTTTGGAACAAAGCACTTGGCTTCTTTTATGCCAAGAATATCTTCTGTGTATTTTCTTTTGAGCTTTAAGAATGTAATAAACAACTGAAGAAGCATCTTTGAGTTGTTTTCTTTCTTTTATTTTTCAATCTTCAGTCTTGTTTTAGGATTCATCAGTTGAAAATGATGAAAATTTCGATTATACGCGACAATCTTTGCTTTACTTAATTTTTTTGTTCCTAATGCTTTATGTTTATGAGAAATGCACTGCGATTTGAGTTCTGCATTCCTTAGAGTTTGCTATTTCTGTGATGTTAGCAAAACAAGAGTAAAAGTCACTTAAGAACAAGAGTACGCAGCAGCAGTCCAGCCTCCAAACTATGATATGAGTGGTAAGGTGATGAACAGGACCAAGGTGAATGTACTGCAACTTCAAAATGATGATTCTGATACAGTGATAAAATAGTTCACTGGATTTGTGTTAGTTAGCCTAAGATTGCTGAAAATGACCAGTCTCTTGGCAGAAATAGCAGCAGCAGCAGTCTGATCTAGTGTTCCACAGCTATATGTTTCTGCAAAGTTCACTGTGTGTTTTTAAGTGAATTGTTTGGTTAAAATGGCTGGGAGTCTAAAGACTGGAAGTCTTGCAATAACCTAACTACAGATACAACCATTCACTTCACTTGTTTTCATCTGCACTTCAAACACCAGGAACTTTACACAGTTCCAGGCAACAGAGAGAGGACATTTTTTAAATTCCAAGTTCTCCTTAAAGCTTGAAGCTATTTGCAGAAGAGAGGGTGTCTGAAAAGCTCTCTCAATTACAAATGTAAACTACAGGAACTTCCTTCTAGGTTCTCAGGACTGATGCTTTAATTTTCTAAGCCTCTAAAGCTGTAACCTCTCTGTTATTCTTCTGGGGGCTATCTCAATTAAATAACTACCTGCCCTAGCTCTCATTTTACCTTTCCTATTATTTCAACTGACATATACATCTAAAGAGAAACCACTATTAATATACATGCAGAGAATTAAATAATTTTTCTCTTGCTGAAATTAAATTGACATTTTGTAGAATGATTTGACTATGTATACTTCACACCTCTCAGCAGCGGGGATTTGCTTCTCCTAAAGCAGTTCCAGTCAAGAGGTCTACATATCTCCTCTTTTACAGCATGCCGTGTTGTGTCTCAGCTTTAAATTCTGCTATGTCTCTTGAGTTAATGAAGGTGGGAGTGAACAAAGAAGGAGGAAAAGATTCATCAGCCAGTCAAAAGTCAATCAGACAATCAACGTACCCTGGAATGTGATTTCATCTTTCAGTGACGTGGATTGCATCATCACTGGAGAGTGAACATACCTTTGGCAGACATCAGTTTCTTGTAGTAAGCAGCCACGCGATCTCAAACGATGTGCTGATTGGAGAGCTTGCAGGAAGATCCAGGAGAAAAAACTGCAAAAGGAGAAGTCTTAGTTCATCCGAAGGGGCAAGAAACATCTTTTAAATTGTTTTTATAACGTTAATAGCTTAAAAAATATTTTATCACCTTTTGATTGCAACAAGATCAAGTCAATATTCTTTAATTTCTTTCAGGAAGTAAGGGTAACAAAATATAACAAAAAGTGGTAAATTATTGTCATTTTGCGTATTTTTGAATACTTGAGAACTACTACTTTCAGAAAATAACACACAAGCTTCAGATCTTACAGAACTCTGGAGAAGACTAGAGGATCTCACTATTTATTATCTGATGTAATGAGAGACGTTTATATTTTGAATGGTATAAGAGTGGAAACATGCACATACAAAAAATCAACCACGTAATAACATCTTGCTTGTTGGTAAAACCAGCCCTTGCTCTTCCAGTCTGTAGTGAGGAAAATGGACTGGATGTACACAAAGACAGAATTAGGTTCAGCAAACAAAGCAGAATGTAGAACAGCAATATGTAATGCACTAACTGACCATAACCCTCCTCTGAATCTCTGACTCAGTTTCTCCAGTCAGGATGAATTTGTCTCTGCATCTGACAGAAGTTCATTTGCCCAGGAAGAAAGTCAAGGAATGGGTAAGTATTTGTTTTTAGTTTTAACTCTGTAGGGTGGCTGAGAAAGACTGTTGAATTTCAAGATGTTTCAGAATAAAGCATCATTTCTGGATTCCTTCTCAAACCACCAGATGGGATTTATAGATAGAAAGTTGCTAGCAGATAATTTAAAAAAAAAAAAAAAACAGAATACTTGAGACTAGAAAGCTAAGGTGCCTTTCACCTTTGATTCACAGATGCAGAGTAGCTCTTACTGAGGTAATCAGCCTATCCAATCTATTCAGATTTGGCTTTCTGACACAATGAACTGAATGTCTGTTTTATCCTTCGCATCCATAATGTACAATTTCAGTTAATGACTTAGCTTCAAAGTATGTATTTTATTTTGAAAAAAAGAGGTGATTTTGTGCTGAGAGTCTGGAATTCAATCTTTTCAACCTTGATTTGCCTGCTTTTTTACTGTGTTGCATTTACTTGCCTAAATCACTTGCCTACCAAGTGAGACAGCACTACAAACCATTTTTCACAGCCAGAGACTTCAACTGCCTCCAATTTATTTTGTCATCTTTTGGACAAGCACCAGAACATGGAACAGGACAGAACACCTAACGCCTTATGTATTGCCTCATTTAGTATTATTTAGTAATGTGCTCTGACAAGGGACTGGGATGGAGCCCAGCTTTCAGCAGCCTGTCCAGCTGCAGCCTCACATCCCACCACAACCAGGCATGGAAAGGTGATGATACTTCCACTCCAGAACCTCCTATTCTGGTTGTTCATCAAGCATGTGCACTCAGTCTGAATGCTTACACCATGATACAGTGCAGTGACACGAAGAGAAACAGTGACTACATGTTTGCTATAAACAATGGACAACTTGGTGGAAAATGCTGACCAAATCACATTGATGTCTTTGTTGCAATAAAATTCAGCAGGAGATTTGATACTCAAAACAGAAAAATGTAAAGCTTGCAGTGTTTCCAAACATGGTCCTGATGATAGTATCAGACTAAAGAAATCAAATGCTTTTCTGTACCTGATAGCAACAGTTCTTCACTATCCAAACTTCAAAGATGTAATTTTTACATGAATTTTACCTAAGGTGCTGCAACCTCTTGGTGACAAAAGTATCTGGGACAAACTCTTCAGTAATAACCAGTGACATTTCTAGCTGGTGTGAAGTGGGACAGTTCTGCTGAGTTCAAGAAATGCCGATATCCTAAGTCACAGCAATGAGAGGCTCTTGTCACTAAGGAAAAGAAAATAATATTTTGGGAAACATCCCAAGTAATTCCTTGATTGGCAGTGATAGCCTGTATTCAATAAATGCAGTGAAAAAGACAACATGGCAGAAGAACTGTGTGGTGATCCAAACAATATCCAAGGATTAAAAAGGGATGGAAAATCCATTTATAAAAGAACATTACAACTCCAAATTTAAAATGCAGAAGATGTACAAGGCACCAGTAGTTTAATCTAATTTTTTGTCTTTCATATAATCTATCTTAGGTCCAGACAATTACTAACATTGTGCAATAAGTGGTATTGTGGTTATTCCTATGTAAGAAAAAAAGAAAAGCAAGTTCTTTTATTTGCCAGAGACATTCTGTTGAACTTTGGCAAATCATTTTGTCTTCTTGTGTTTCAATTTCTCCTATGAAAAGAAGACATAAAAAGCACATCTGTATCTCAAAGGACACAGTTTTAAGGATAAGCACAATAAAATGGGAGATACAATTCTCATCAAAATACCCCTAACCTCCTAGAAAGGGCGCTTTTATATGAGCTCACTGGAAAATTCAAACTTGTAAACGGATTCTTTTTCTTTTGTTTTCTTTTGTTTTCTTTTTCATCTTTGTATAACTTTAATTTGAGGGAAGTGTTAAATAGAATTACTCCAGGAATTTTAGTAACCTTTTATGAGGCTATGCTGATGTCTGCATAGGGAAAACATGTCAGGTCAAAGTGAAGCAGTCCTTCTGAGCGCTGTAAAGGCAGGCAGAGTGCTCAAACCTATGTTTGAACAGAGTCAATTTTCAGTATTTACTGTTGTCTTATGTGGAACTGCTCCACATGCAATCCAAACTTTCACAAATTTCAACTTTTTCTATATATGAGCACAGATCTGTGCACAGGAAGTTTCCTGCTTTTGAAAATCTTCCTTTAGCTGAGCACCATTGTATCTTAAAGACGTTTGCATCTTGCTTCTCCATGAGGAAAGATTTCCAGGAAATCCAAGAATGAGATACAAAGAACAGTGATAAGTGTCTCAACACTGCCTCTTTTTATTTCCTACTTTTTAATGACTTCCCTAGTAATTTATTATCATCCTGAATATGTAGTTGTATGATGACTAATTGAATTAGGTTGCACTGATTGAACTGCAACAGATTACTTCTGCAAATCATGTGTGGAGAATATATCATGTCCAGAGGTATAATGTCATACCATAAATCCACTTGTAGCAGTATTAAAGTTTGACTGATACACAATGACAGTGATAAAACATGTCCTTTCTATGTAGCTGAAAATCAAAAATATGCTTTTGAAAAACACAAGAGGTGACTTTGTTAGACCAGCACACTGCTATTTGAAAGCCTCTACTTTTTGATTTTTATAGGAGGAAAAGCATGTTCTCAAGAACACGTACAATGCTTTACTCTTTAAAAAGCTAACATGACTGCATTGCTGCTGTGCTGCTGATAGATTATCTTTATCCCACGGCTAGCTGCTAATTCTCAGAATCAGAAATCTCCTATGTAGGGGACAAAGCCACATGTAAGTAAAATAAAAAAATAAAAACAGTGATAATTAAAGCTGCTCCTTAAAAACCTTGGAAAAGTTTTGAAAATACCAAATTCTTAGTCACGTATTTATATTAGACATCTCTGAATCCTCCTTGGCTTTGCATTTGTAAACTGACAGAAGTATCCTCTAGCACTGCAAGAACTGTCCAGTACCATAAACCGTAGTTCAGTGTTGAGATCCTGCGTTTGTTTATATCTGCCTCCTGCCTAATTCTGAATTTAGAGGAGAGGAGAGGGACCACCTCTTTGCTGTGTTTATTCAGGAAGCTGATATGACACTGCAGTGGTGGGGGCACAAGATGGTGCCCCAAAATGCAGCAGCCCCTAGGTGTAGAATGGCGTGCAGAATGGTGTGCGTCTGGCTGCAGCTGGGCTTTGTCAAGGGAGAGACAAAGAACAAAATAGGGGCGAGCAGTGTGCCAGCATCTAAATAAGGTCATATGGATCTTGACAAGGTGCAGCAGAACACCATTTCTGAGAAGAGAAGCTTCAGGCAGCTGGACAACTTTCTAGTGAGTCTTGGCAAAGATCCTGAACACAAAAGTTGCTCACCTGAATTCAGATGGGATTTCTGTAGTAACAAGTGTTAGAAGCACTTTTCTTCAAACACAGTCGGTTCTATAATAAGATGTTTATCTTTAAGAATCTCAAAACATTCAAACTCTTATTCCAAACTTGCAGCAGTTAGACACCTATCAAGTAATAATTTGAATATTTATGGCTACTTTTGAGACTCAGCTATCCTCTGAAACTCTCCATCATGGAGTACATAGGCACTGTGATAACCATGGGATCTTGACAGGAAAGGACAGTGTATTGGTTACATCTGAAGTAAGCAGTTAGAAGCATGATCATCTACTGGCAGGCCCCATGGGGATTGCAGAAAAGTCACCTTGTGGACAGAATTCTTCACTACAACTGAGGCAGGTACCAAGTGGCTGGAACATTTGAGTCTACTTTCCCTGCCAGATAAATTCTGTTTGTTTTAATTCCTATCAAGTAGTATGACCCTCTTGACCAGATACTCTGAGCAGATACTCTCTGTTACAACAGCATCTACGTGGCAATTTTCTGCAGGCCACAAAAATGAACCATGGCATTGCGCAAATGTCACATATTTTGCAACATGAAACATTGCCTTTCCTAAACATAAATCTTCCAAGCAAAAGAAGAAGCAGAGCAGGATGCTACTGTGCTGCTTGTGCCCAAGGGAAGAAGTGAAGACAAAAACACAATGTAAAAAGATTTTCTGAAGATATGCTATAAAATAGTATAGGGTAACACAGCACAGAATTGAGACCTAGAAAAGTCAGGCCCAAGACAGCAAAGCATGCAAGCTTCCCCTCGCTGCAAAGAAAGGGTAAGCTGCAAGTATACAAATTACACACTCACTGAATCCCATCAGTTTTATGAAAATGTATCCCAATGCTGACAGATGAATGCATCCCAGTTGAATTACAGAGTGAATTTAATGTATGCCTTAAGAAATGATGGAGCCAAACCTCTGTTTCAAAAGTCCCTTAGATTCACAGGAGCCAGACAGTCAGTCACAGGTTCATAGGAAATCCAGATTTCCGTACCTACCACCAGTGGTATGGTTTTCAAAAGCAATCCCTAACTCCCACTGAAATCAAGGGGGATCTGGTACCTTAATTTTCAAGTCTGATCACAGAGACTAAACTTGAGTCCTCATATTTAACTTTATCTTAGTGAAATGATTTAGGATTTGTCTATGTGCGGAAGTTCCAGTAATCATTTTATTTACAGTTGAAATGGATGTGTTCCCATTTAAAAACTTATTTTTGCTTAGTTTCAGCCTGTTCCTTGTTAACTTGAATTAAGTCAGCCACCAGTGCAATGTGCAGGCACAATCTCACCCAGATATATTCAAACACTTTAAATCTATGCTCCTTAAGCAGCTGCAAAGAACTCCACAGAGTTGCCTACCAGTGGAAATAGCTTAATGGAGAACCTGTATTTGCCTGATAAGATTTGTGAGTAGTAAAGGAAACATCTCCTTAGAGATGATCCCAAATGTCAAAGGACAGGCTAGAGGCCATCAGAACAAGAAAAATCAATACAATTCTTCCTTTGGTTTCAAGACAGCATTGTAATTTGAGGGAGGGACCAGGAGCATCTCACTCCTAAATAAAGGAAGCTTCACTTGTGCTCTCACCTACACATTTCAGGATAATTTTTTGCTTCAAAGTCACTGCCCTAACTTTGATTGAGTTGATACAGCTGTAGCCAAAACCCAAGAACAGAGAGTTCAGAGCGTGACTACAGGTTGATTTGGTGATGACTGACAAAGAATTTTTTTTGCAGAGGACACACTCTCAATGTTTTCCAAAATTCGTAACTCACCATCAGTAGCTCAATTTTTGGCAAAATCCCTTGTCTGGGATAAACTTCTTCAAGAGATACAGATGCAGGTGGCCATAGGTATCATTAACAGTGCTCTCATAGAAGAATCTGTGAGTGAGCCTTTTTGGGGGGATCAAATTCTGTCACCTTAGATCACTGGCTTAAAATAAACATGGTATGAAATAAATGGTGGTTACCTGAGTAAATGTTATTGCTTTTCCTCTGTGCTCATATTTCTAATTGTCATGTGTCCCTAAGTTAATAGAATCATCAAAAGGTCAGCACTCCTTTTTAATCTTTTGAAAACATCTCTCTATAGTCATAACAGGATATGGACAAAGGAAGTTACCTCTCTCAAATCCAAGGGAACGTATCAAAACATTTAAATATTTTTTTTTTTAATTATTTCTTCAGCATTTTAATTCATTTTTTAAAACCAGTGAACTTATTCATAACTTCACACATACTGGCTGGAGACTTAAGCAGATTAGTTTAGTTTGATCTCACCGTAAAGTACTCAAAATGCTTTCAATTTTTTAAATTTCTTTTGAAATGTGAATTATCTCATCTAAACCTCTGCTTCTAAGCCCTTTTTCTTTTTATGTCAGACATCTGTGAAAGGCATGGAAGATAGAAGGACAATCCTATGGTACGTTACAACAAAAGGAAATTTAATACACGCTTGTATCCAGTCCTACCATCTTTGCCCAAAAATTACTTCGCTACCATTTCAGTGGGAAACTGCTCTGAGTGAGCACTAGGTAAAAATGGAACATCAGTATATCAGAAATGTAACTGCTTGGCCCAAATATATTTAATTAGTACATGCATACTATTTGTAACATGGTGTAACTGAACAATTGTTATGATGGAACACAAGAGGGGCAGAACTTTAAGCACCTGCTCAACTATGTGTGCATTTACAAAAGGTAATGCAAACGGTAGAGTTGCTGCTGTTGTTTGAATTCTGGTGACTTCCTCTGGATCTGTTCACTGTCCCAGGCTCTGCAGAAATAGTCAGTCACATATACCCACAGAATTTGCAGCTGAAATTTGTAAACCAGATAAACAGCATGCAGGGAAAAAAAAAGGTATTATCTTAATTTCAGAGTCTGAAAAAGAATAATTGATTTGCTCATAGTAACAAGATGAAGAGATGTAGTGGCAGAAAAATGAAATCCAATTTTCTGAGTACCAGGGCAGTGCCTAAACCTCAGGACTTCTATTTTCATCTTTATCTAAATATATACAGTATTTTCTTTCTCGTGAGAAGAAACACTGCAATTTTGGAAGCTGTAACTATTTTTTACTTATTGATACCTAAAAGCTTCCAGTAATGCTGCATTTCCCTTTAGAAGACCATACAGAAAGGAAATGATTTTGTCAAGAGGGACTCTTGAAAGCCAATGATAGATATGGATAGATACTGCATTGCAGTTATTATGGCCCATTGTGGTGATCCAGTACCACACACAGAGCCAGAGGCTAACTGGTGATACCACTGCAATATACCAGTTAACTTCCAGATCAGGCCTCAAACAAAATACACCCTTTTTCATGGGGAGGCATCTGACAGTGGAACAGTGGAAATGTCTGATGCATGCTACTAAATCTGAAAGGTAGTCCCTTCAAGGCAGTAGTTTGGCAGTGCACCTTAACACAAGCTTGTTGACTTTATACACACACTGTAAAACAACACTTCAGTACTACTGCTAAAATAATTCATTAATTATACATGTTCTATTAATTTTATCTTTTCTTAGTATGGAAAAACGAATACAATGGCCTTTGAAAGAATGCTCATTTTTGTCAAGCTTTTTATGTCAGCTGTAGCAAGCAGAGAGCACAGAGCTTCTGCCTTATTTTTGCTTAAGCTCAAGTACAGTAACAGAAGTTGCTGTATTTTGGGATAATTTCAGAAAGGATAGTTTCCTAAATCTGCCATAATGTAAGCTTACCTCTGTTAGATCTGTATAAGGCACACTAGGGAATCTGTTCTGAACACTCAGTAGTTACCCATCCATTTGCAGATGAAACCCAAATCTTTACAGTCTTTAGGTAAGGGAACAAGTCCCAGATCTATCAAAGGCTCATTTTTATTTAGTGATGTGTTTTCTTGTCAGTGCAGTCTCTTCAGTTTCTCCGTATTGCCTGTGTTTCTGTAACACTTGAATCTGTTTCCTTACCCAAACACTGTAGCAGTGTCTTATATCTGTGCCAAATGACTTTAATTTTATTGGATTATAATAAAACGATTCCATCAGTATAGAGGATATTTTGCTATTTCACATCAATATGTAGTCCTTTATCAAAAGACACAGGCTAACTATGTAAAAGAAAAATTAGATCTTTCTCACAGCGACAGATACTAAAATGCTACACTGGGAATAGTTTCTTTTGCATATAAAACACATCAAACCTAAAAGG